GGGCGCCAGAACCACACTGGTGACTTACTGCCACCTGGCCAGACCAAGCAAGGCTCCTTACGTTGGTTAAACTGTCTCCCAAATCCAGAGATAACACTTCTCTGCAGACCTGGGATGCCTCCAGTCAGGAGGGAGCTAGCAAGAAGGAATTGGCTCATAAACTCTGAGAAGAAACTCTCCCATCCCCAGTCTTCCTAGAGCTGTGTTGGCCAAGGCCTGGCCACCGTTGAGCACCCTGGGGCATGTGAAGATGGACTTGCTGTGTGGCCTGAGCAAGCCCCGTCCCTCCCTGGACCTGTTTCCAGCCTATCCTGTTGGGTCTCTGTGCCGAGCTGAACTGGGGCAGGGAGGCATCTGGCTGTCCACCACTTCCTGTAGACTCTGGTTGAAGAAGATGTTTCCTGTGCTCAGCTTCTTCCTCCCGGTCACCATTGCTTCTCAATCTGTTTGATATCAATGTTTGTTAAATTGAACTTAAATGGAAATAACAACTCTCCAGACCAGAAAACAGGAGTTTAGAGGTGACCAGCAGAAACCGTTCCTCCTTCCCTCCAGGAAGTTCCTGGCCACAAAATCACTGGCACTGCCCTTCGTGTGGAGTCCTGGTTGGGCCCAGATACATTTTCGGACACAAAGACCGTGTGCCAGAGCCTTGTCCTCCCTTGGACACAGGCCTCCCATGGGCAAGGGCAGGCCGCAGAGCAGCTGCTGCCTGGGTGAGCCCCCAGAGCTGCCCTGAGGGGACTGGAGTCAGAAGTGTGGATTCTGGTCAAGGAATGCGGTGGGCAGGGAAGGAGGAGAGAACTGAAGCCTGAGTCCTGAGGGGAGTGGAGGAGGTGGGGGGCTGGTGGGGAGAGGCAGTGAGTCCCTCCAGGGCACAGGCCAGCTTTGCTTTTAGCTGTCTCATGTTTGCATCCTGGTGACAGGTCACCACGGGCAGGGCCAGAGACTGGAGGCAGGATACCGCGTCCCACTCCAGAGCAGGCTCCCTGACATGCCGGGGGACCCTCTGCTTCCTCAGGTGCTGATCTGTATGTGAGGGAGGGGCCTGGACTGCAGGCCTTCAGGGGCCCTCCCTTCCCTGGGCTCCGCACTCAGACGTGTTAGTCGTCATGATGATGGTATCAGGGCAAACAATGAGAGATTGTGGGCCTAAGTCAGTGCCCTCCAGAAGATAGGAGGCTAGTCTTCAGAAAGACCAAAAACTACTTCCCAGCTTGAGAACACCCTTTCCCCTGCCCTGCCCTCTCTGGTCTTCTGCCCCCACAAGGTGAAGCCCTTGGAGACCCAGCAGCCTTGCCATCTCCTCTCCTGGCAGACTGCACCGCACCAGGCCTGTTTAGCTCCCCTGATGCCCCACCTCTGCCCAGAACGCCTGTCCCTCCAGGCTCCCTGGTGAACTCCTACTCATCCTCCAAAGCCCAACTTCTCCTGACCATTGCAAGGAGATCCAGCACCCCCACATCTGGGCTCCCACAGCACCCTAGACCCACCTCTACTATAGCATGTATAATTGCATGTTTGTTTTCCCCCCCAGACTGGAAACTTGAGGGCAGGGGCTGGGTCCTATTCACCTCTGTATCTACCGGGCCTGAGGACCAGTAGGCACTCGGTGAATGTTTGCTGAACAAATAATTTGCTTCCATTTTAATGAGCTCATTAGGGCTCAAACTGCTTTGTAATTAGGAAACAGGAAAGTTCCTTTTTTCCGGTAACAATCTACTGTTGGGGGGTGATGTCAGAATTTCAAGCCTTTACAAAGCAGAAGGCAATCAAATTAGATTCCTGGGGCACATGGTTGTGTTTTTAAGAAATAAAACATGCATGTTCAACAAGGAGCATTTAAACAAGAAACTTGTATATTAAATGCTTCACATTAAATATACATCACTGTACAGTATATCTATCACACAGAATTAGAACTTAACACACATCTCTGTGGCTGTACCAGGCTCCTGGCAGTGATACATCCTTGAGGAGCAGGGGGAGGGGTGGAGACGATGAGGGCTGGTGCCTTTGTCTCTGTGGGTTCTGGAAGGTGCCCCTACATCTAAGGTGTGGACTGTGCCGGCCCCCTCTGGACAACTTGCCCCATTTGGTCTTTGCTGGTAACTGCTTTTGCGTGAAGAAGCAGATGTGGTGGTGAGCTGGCCAGTGCCTGATTTAGCCAGGACCTTTGTGGGCACCCAGGGCCAACTCCAGATGCCAGCCTGACCTGTCTGTGGTGCTCTTGCATTCACTGTTCCCAGGGTCTGGGAGGCTGTCGGTCCTTGCTAGGCCCTTGGCCAATGTGACATCAGCTACTTCTCAGAGTTGGGCCGACCCTGGGGTTCAGAACCTTAAAAGAGGGAACCTCCCAATCCTGCAATTGCAGAGGGCTCCACCTGTTGACGAGCAGGCCTTGCTGGAGGCTGGATCAGGACTCTCCTCCGGATCACCCCCTGGCCACCGAGGGGGCATCAGTCTAGAGCCACCCTGGGAGGAAACACAGCTCAGCTCTGATTAGCCCAGCCTTCCTGAAAACTCAGCCTTTTCCACAACTTTCCTGTGCAAAGGCTGCCCTATGAGCCTCTCTCTCTCCAGGAGAGGATGTTACATTTGCCAGATTCTTCAGTGACCTCAGATACCCCACAGAAGCTCGGCTCAAGGCAGGTGGGCCCCTTCTCCCCAACAAGGCCTCTTTTCTTTCTGTGGACGCCATCTTGTTTGGGGGACTGCCAGAAAAGCCCTTGACTCCTCAGAGCTCAAGGACAGAGCCGCTGAAGTGGTCGGCGCATTGTGGTCAATAATGAAGCCGGCAAGGGGGGAAAGAAAAAACGGGCCTGTGGCTCTGAGCAGCGAGGTCCATTAGTGGCTGGAGGTTGTGTTCCAAGACAAAATGCTGAGGGCCAGATATTGTGTGGCAGTGAGCTTTTTCTTTTCCTCAAAGAAACCCAGCTCATTTTTTTCCCCCATTAATTGGCAGCAGATGAAAAAAAAAAAGCCAAAACAAAAACCAAACCAACGCCAGTCACCTGAATGTGACTGTTTCTGAAAGGGAAAAGCTGTTTCAATTGTTAGATGTCCAAGAAAACATGAATACATGCTGACAGAGGAAACAGTCACAATTAGAGGAAGAAGAGGGAGAGGTTCATAAAATTAAGGAAAAAAATTCCTTTTAGCAGCTCCCATCCTGTAAGCTGGCTCCAAAGCCTAAGGGGGGGGCAGGAGGCGGGGCCTCCCAGGGAAACTTCAGGACGATGAAGGAAGGGGAGGCAGGGTGGGCCCCAGGCCAGAGGGCAAAGCAGCCCAGTTTTCACTCAGACCGCGGCATTCAGCCTTTCCTGAAGAGAAATTTACTCTGAAAATCGTTCACAAAGAAGGGCCGTGTGGCTCCCATTCCTCGGGACCCTGTGGCCTCAGGAAGTGCCCTGTGCAGGCCGACTCTGCGTTTGCTCGTCAAGAGGGGAGGAGCTGGTGTGAAGTCACCCTACCCCGACGCCCCTATCCTCTAACGGGGCTTCCTTGGCACCTCTGTTCTGACAAAGTGCCAACTCATTTATTTTCACATTCACAAAAAAAAGTATGAATCACTCCAAGTACTCCTGCCTTGAAGGGTATGTTGGAAAATGCTAAACAGGCAAAGGGTCAGGATTGGCTTCTTTGGAGACTTGATGAAGGCCAGAGCCAAGGTGGTCATGTCAGCCCAGGTAGGTTGGCTTGCCTCCCAGGCGGGAGAGGCTGGGGGCCTGCTGGACTGATCAGCAAGGACCCAGGAAGATGACCAGCCTAGGCACTAGAGATAATCAGCAAGGAAACGACATTGATGGCTTTGACCACAAACTGCTGAAATCCACGGCAGCTACCTAAAGGTGTGCAGTGTCTAGTCCTGCCCCACCCGACCTTGACAGGTGACCTTGGCAAGTCCTTATCCCTCTCTGGGCCTCTGTCTCCACTTCTGAACAGCGAGACTCACCCCCCTCTAAGGCCCTGGCAGTGCTAATGGTCTAGACCTCCAGTGTACAGACTCAGCCCCACGCACTATTCCCATGTGCACGGGGGACAGTACTCCCCAGACTTCCAGTCCATTCAGACCAGCTGGGCAGGCAGGATGCTGTGTGCTTGGCCAAGGCTCTGGATCCCTTTCACATCGTTTAGTAGGTGGAAGCCATACCTTTCCTGCTGCTGGCTGTGATTCTTCTGTTTTCAATCCCCATTTCATTGCAGTGTGGCAGGTGGGTGGGTGGGTAAGGAAGGGGAACTGAATAACAGGCAACTTCACAAACTTATTAGGATCTGCCTGAATGTGTGGGAAGAATCTCTGCTCCTTGGAGGATGGGGACAAGACAGAGGTGGTGTGTGTGCGCACATACATAGGTGACTGGCAGGGCTCCATGAGTTTGGAGACTAGGATTCTGCCTTCTCCGGGAGCGAGGTAACAGGGAGGACACGTAGAACCTGCCAGTCTGAGCTCTAGTGCCTGCTCTGCTGCTTCTGAGCTGGGTGACCGCAGGCACGTCACTCTCCCTGAGTTTCCCTTTCCGCACATGCCTCACGGGTGGCACTGACCAGATGACTGGAGGAAAGCCCTTTGTAGAGTGCTGGGTGCTGTGCGCCAGAAGGGTTGTTAACACAGACTGAGAGGCAGCCTGGTTGTTGGATACAGTGCAGCTCGAGACTGTATCCACTGCTGGAGCCTGAATGCAGGCCTGACTGACCTTCCTGCAGGTCGACTACGGGCAGAAGCTACCCCTCTGGCCAGTGCTCCTCCATCCTGTGCCCCCACCGCCTCAGCCCTGTTCCCAGCGCAGACACCGCTCTGGTGCCCAAAACCTTCGGAGGGCTTGAGATAGGGCACAACCCGCCTGCCCCCCGCCCTCACTGTCACAGGCCAGAGAAAACATCCTGCTCTGGGACTGAAACCAGCAGGTACGCACTGCCCTCCTCAGAGACCCTCTGTTATATATATAAAAAAAGGGATAAGCATATATATTAAATGACTATTTTATTTACACACCCTATTCATAAATAATTGAATCTTCTTTTTGACTGCACAATGATTCCTTGAAGATCTACTGATTACACTGAGTGACTACAAGTAGATTAGTGGGTTTACCCACATCTGTGTGTGACCACGTTCTCTCGTGCTCACACTCACACAGACACACACACCAGAGGGGGCAGGGCCCGCGCCTGCTGACCCTGGGCCGGGCTCCGAGGCTCACAGCACCAGCACTGGGCTTGGGGTGCCTGTGGGGCCTTGGTGGGAAACTCTGCCTCCTACACAGGTGTGACTTCAGGACAGCTGGAGAACAGAGAGACGCAACCCAGGGAGCTCCGCCGTCGTTCGTCCTGGAAGGCATCTCTTTGGGATTTGCAAATATTTTAATTCACAGAAACTCAAGGAGGGCTGAGGTGGGGGCTGGGGTGGCGTGTTCACCGTCCATCGCCAGTCCCCACAAGTGGCAACAGCATTCTAGAGACATGCAGTGGTGTGCTAGTACCAGACACATGACACAGACTGGACACACCGGCGACAGGGCCGGGATGGTGGCGGGGCCTCTGGCTCCTCCAGGCCAGAGCAGGCGGGGCTGGCCTGCTCACAGGGTCCGCACCGCCACGGGGTAGAGCAGGGACAGGTGCTCAGCCCCTTTGATGGGCAGCTTCCGGGTGGTGTAGTAGTGGATGACTTCCGGGACACTGTCGAATGGGGGGCTGTTCTGACCCAGAACGTACTTCTCTTTGGTTTTGGCCAGTTTCATGTGCATAAAACCCTGGTTGCTCCTGTGAACAAAACACAGAGACCATTAGGATGCGCAGAGGGCAGGGGTGCCACACTACTGAGGACGAGGATGCAGGGGAGGCCAGGAGAGGGGCAGGGGAGCACTGTCTCAGAGAGCCACCCAGCTTGGCTTTGGACAAGGCTGTACTGTGCTCACACTCATCCCCCTGGAGGACGGCCCCTCGGGCACTGGGGCCAAGGCCAAATTCCTGCTAAGGCACAAAGGTTCTGCAGCTATGAGTGCTTGGGACGAAGAGATGCCCAGCCAAGGAGGAGCTGGAGTGGCACCTGCACACCAGGGCCAAGGCCTAGGCCCAGCTGGAGCACAGCTGCACCCAAGGGCACCCTGTAGCATCAGTCAAGATCCAGCACCAACCACTACCACTGGGGGCAGATCTTCTGACATGGAGGAGCCTCTGGGGCTTCCTCAGGGACAAAACAACCCATCTCTTCCTATTCCTGGTGCTGACACCTGCTTAATGCTTGCCTGGCAAGTGCAAAGCATGTACATGTCCACCATGTGTCCATCGTGACAAATGGGCACAGCAGGGTCATCACCCCTGGTTTGCAGATGAGGAAACAGAGTATGCAAGAGATGGTGGGTGAACTGTCCTCCAAAACCTGATGCATCTCCTTCCATGGTATGGAACTGTTGTGGGAAGGGGCGACCTGCCCTGGGACTACATTTCCCAGCCTCCCGTGCAGCCAGTGTAGCCATGTGACTAGTTTTGACCAGTGGGATGTGGGTGGAATGTATGCACTTTCCCAGCTCTGCTCCATGCAGGCTCTTTGCCCTCTGTGCTTCCTCTCTGCTCAGTGAACTCACCTCAGTGTTTCCTCTGCCAGGAAGTCTTCCAGGACTCCCATGGCAGAACTCCTGCCTTTCTGACTGCACAGAGGACACTCACGCCTCCATCAGCACTCACCTTCTGAATTGTAAGTACTTGTCCATCTTCCCAGTTCCCCCTGAACGCTCCACAGGGCTGGGTCTGGTCTCTGTACCCACCATGCCTGGCTTTGGACCTGGCTGGGAGGAGACCACCCAAAGAAGCATTTGCGGGAGGAAGGGCTAATGGTGTGCCCATGGCCCTTGCAGCCCATCCTGCACTAGCATGCTGGGTGGGACACAGCTCACTGATGGTAGGGGCCACACTCCTGCCAGCCAGCATCCACCAGCCCCAGTGGACCCCTCCTCCCTCATCAAGCCAGGGCTCCAGCCCCATCAGGTCATTTATCCTTCTGTCAACCTACCTTTGCCCAGGCTGCCCTGTCCCTGCTCACCCAGCTCCAAGCTTGGCCTTTAATAATCATGTTATTGCTATTATTATGATTTTGCCGCCACACCTGTGAATCCTTCACAGTTCCTAAAGTGCTGTCTAGTCTATTGAGTGTTGATCACTTAGAATGCTGGGGCTTCCGAGCCCCTGCCACCTTCTCCAGTGTCTAACCCTGGGCTTCCAGGAGGCCAAGGCCACCTCCTTTTCCCTCCCCCCACCCCCCTAGGACAAGGCTGAGAGCACTGTGTGGACACAAGAAAGCTGCAGCCTTTCTGAGCCTGAGCTCCTCTTCCCACCTCTGCTGCTCTTGTGGGACCCTGAAAGCTTCCATTCGGGCCTAAGCCCCCCAAGCCCCCTAGCGCCCACTCTATTAATATGTTAATTTGGGCTCCAGGACCATTTTCAGATGGGCAGAACAAATGCTTAATGAAGTGCAAGCACTAAGCAATACATCTGCTCATAATAATGTATTTAGAGATGTCACCCTTAGCTTAAAGGAAATCGTTTGGAGAGCAATTATGTTTCAATAGAGAATAATTCCTCTAAAGAACTAAAATTTAAATCAAGATCTTTTAAGGCTGGCAATGTTCTAATTACAGAGCCTGTGGCAAGTTCTGCTTCTCAGTGCAGGGTCATTCCATTGGAGAATTACCTCGACGCCTCTGAGAAGCAGGAGGCGCGCTTGCTTAGGCTGCTAGAAGCAAAACGATGTGTGCATTAAATGAAAAATTTAAAACTCCACTGAGCAAAGACGCACCTACCCACGTTGGGGAGATCACAAGTCCGCATCAGCTTGGAAGGGACTCTCTAACGGCTTAGATGAAGCACTGGCAACCCCACGAGTGTCAGAGTAGACCGTGCTCCATAGGGTCTTCACTGGTTGATTTTTCAGAAGTAGATCACTAGGTCTTTCTTCTGAGGTGCCTCTGGGTGTGCTTGAACCCCCAACCTTTTGGTTAGCAGCAGCGCTCATACTGTTTACAGCACCCATGGACTCCAAGAAAACAGCAGGAAGAGTTAAAAGCTCTGCTCTGGGAGGCCCCAGTGCTCTGTGTGTCTGGAGAGGGGTGTGTCTGGGAGAGAGGACTAGGCTGCAGAGAGGAGCCACAGGTGTGAGTCACAGCTGGGGCAGCCAGGGCGGTGTGACCCTGGGCATGTCACTCCCCTCTGTGTGAGTCTGGCTTCATGATTCTCACCGTTCTGTGACGAGGGGTGGCATGCATGGGATATGTGCTGTAACAAAGGGTTCCTGCTAGCACTGCAGGTAGGAAGGGGGATACAAGGGGCTATCCAATTTATCAGGAAGTTAAGGAAAGCAACTCACACAGGTTAAGGTGACATTTTCGCACTGGTGTGCTCTTTTAAAAACATCCAGCAAAGGGAAGTGGCAGCGATGGTGGCAACAGCTTAGAGCCAGAGCGGGAGCTGAAGGTCCTCTTTTCCCGGGCTGCAGGCGAGAAATCGCTACCAGGGCTACACATTGGCACCTATGTCTTGACAGGCATGGTGAGGCAGGCTACTGCCAGGCTGAGAAGAGCCAGACACCTCCCTGAAGTCACTCCTGCCTCTCTGGTCATGCTGTTTGTTCCTCCCATACACACCTTAAGCTCCTTGACCAGGCTGTGCCAAGGGGACAGGCAGGTAATGAAGCTCAGAGACCAAGACAAAGCTGGGACCAAAACTCAGGTCCTGTGAGCCCCCAATCTGTGGGTGGACCATCCCTTCCTCCTGGGATCAAGCACTGCACTCTGCTGTTCTCTGGACCTTGGGCCATCCCGTCCCTCACTGGGCTTCTGCCCCTGCCCCCACTGCATCGTGGGCAGGTAACTGCATAGCCTCTGAGGCCCTGGGTCCCATGGGATAAACACACTCTGCTGCCTGCATGCAGCCTCATACCCTCCCCTCCACTGCTGCCCACATCCCCAGTCCTGGGGCACAGGACACCAGCCTGGACCACTTTCAGGGCCAGGGTTTCTTGGGCACTTCTTGTGAGCCTGGTCCTGTGCCCAGCACTAAGGCTCAGACAGGAGAGATCACCAGTCTAAGGTCCCGGAGCAATCAGTGGCCAGGCGGGCCTTTTCCAGAGCTGGTGCTCCTAACCTTGGTACTCTCCAGAACCAGAAGAGGGCCCTCCCTAACCCTCCACACCCTACGTGAGGCCAGGCAAGAGCTGTCAGACCTTGAGCAAATTACTCCTGCCTCCGAGCCTCATCTCCCACGATGCCCACCTTGTAGGGTGGAGCCAGGTCAAGAAGACAGCAGAGGGGCTGTGAAGCAAAGGCCAAGAGCGGCTCACACAGAAGAGGCTCAGGATCGGGGATATTGAGTCCCAGCAGACGGTGCCCCCAGGATCACCAGCCATGGGTGGCAGGTGTGGGAACCCCATCACCCAGGTCATGTGTCTGGGGAAGTGAGCAGGCTTTCTTTTTGAGACTTTGCTAATCCTTGATCAATGCAAAGGCCAGGTAAAGCTCTGTCAACACACACCCAAGAGACCAGTTGTAATAACATATCCTGATTGGCCACAAGGTCCCCATGAGTGAGATCCCACTACCAATGGCTGAAGATTTAAAAGGGCTGCCAGGGATGGCTTTAGTGACTCCCAACTCCACACAAAAAAATGTCCGGCGAAAGAAGGGGGAGAAACTAACATTTCTATGGAGACAGAGGGACACATCAGATAACTTCTGACGTGCCCAGGGATGTTACAGCTGCTCTGTACGTAGTGTTTTTGGAGCTAGAAGATGGAGACCAGGTACCTCCCCTAGCCCCCCTGGGGTACCTTGGAGGAAACTGAGGCCAGAGGGAGGAACACCCTGGCCGGGGGCACACTGCAAGGTGGGCTGCAGCTCCAGCCAGAACCCAGGGTCCTTGCATCCAGGGCCATGTGGGTGGGCTCTGGGCCGTGCCTCCTCCCCACCCCTCTGTGAGGCAGCCCGTGCTGCCAGCCAGCATCAGCACCATCATTGCTTCTGGGAAGACCTCGGTCCCCGGGGAGCTCCCACAGGCTGCCGCTGACAGTGCGTCAGCCCAACTCCTTTGATAGGACATCTTTCGAGAGCAAAGTCACAATTAGGGTGTCTCTGATGGGTGACCTGTCTAATGAATCTTGTACGGCTGGCAGAGGCTGGGGTACTGGGGCTGTCACAGCGTTCAGATTGCTCATTATCGTCACAAAAAAAACCTCCTCATCACCAGGATTATCAAACGTGCCTGGTGCACAGGGCCTAATAATAGCCCCGCCTTGCCTCATAATCTAATCGAGGCTTTAATAAAACATCACTCAGCCTGCAGCTGCTGGCCGGGAGGCTCAGAGCAGGGTGCGGGCCTCACCTCTCCTTTTTAGACCTAATTGCTTGATGCATATTTCATGAAGAATCCAGGGTAATAGTTATGTTAAATCACTTCTTTTCATGATGAAATGACTTAAAAATACTTGCATATAATATTTATGCGGGAGAAGGCAAGGAAATTGCCCTTTGGGACTAGTGTGTAGGACCCTGTTAGAAGAATTCGTACTTGGAGCAAATCCTGGTTCACCTCAGCCTAACAGGTGACTAGGGAGCTGCTCTCTTGACAGAATACCCTCAGAATGTTGTCCCTTGGCTCAAAAGCTGTCCGTGGTTCCCCACTGTCCGTTCAGAATTAGTGACACACAGCATGGGGAGCCCCACTGTGCGCCAGGCACTGAGCTGAGCGACGTCTACCTGTTACCTCATTTGAGC